CTTTCGTTCGCGACAGAAGAAAATGTTTTCGTAGACTGCAAAAGCCGCGTTTTCAACATCCGCGAGGAAAAAAGGGAGAACCATATCGAATTTCTATAGAACCGAGAAGTCTATAGTTGATCGTCTCTGATCGTGTTCCAAATGGAACGCCATTCAGAGGAAGACATTCATTCAAAGACGAAAAAAGATTCTCGACTTTAATCCACTTGGAAATTAAATGCCACTTGATTTAAAGTTTGAAGGACCAGGGATATTAATAAAGTTTGGAATGAAGTTATTTTGTTGAAGCTAGATAAAACTTTTGTATCTTTAAATTATTATATTTTTTTATCTTTGAGATTTTTAAATTGTTATATATTTGAATTCTTTAATTTTTGCACGCATTCATAAATTATAGAATATATCAATTTCGAAATCTTTAAATTTTGTTGAATTTTTGCAATTTTTTTAAATTTTTAAATTTCAGTTATAATAATATATTATTTTATTATATTAATCCAATTTTTATTATAAAACAGATGCGTGGAGCAATCAGTTAATTACTCGAAACTTTTCATCGTCTGAGAATTCAATTTACTTTCAATTATTGCTAACTGGTATGTTTTTACTACACATGTATCCTTCGATATCTTTTAGTTTTCAAAACAATTCTTTTTTTAGTAATTTGTAACATATATCAATTAATTTCTTCATTGGTTAATTAATTGAACAACGTTACATGTTAAATTATCTGTAACTGTTTAGATTTTATTTACATATGAGTCAGATAAAATATCATAATGTTATTGAAAATCATTCTCACAGTTTATATCTGATCTTCTTAGCTTCTTAGCATTCTTTAAATAATTTACACTATTAACCACACTTCCATTCATTTTTTTATCTTTTCGTTTTTATTTATTTTTTAATCTTATCATATTCCTATCATAACTTTCTCTAGAATCCTGAATACTGTCATTTTAATTGCTCTTGTTTTTTTATTCTTCGTTATTTCATTATTTTCATTCTTAGAAATGAAACTTCGATTTTACTTTCATATGTGTAAAATTTATAATATTACATCATTAGTTTGATATACAGGTTTTGTTAAAATCTAAAAATACTTAGAAAAAAAATTTTTTCTTCAAATATATTTAAACAATTTTTTTTTTGTTCCATTTTTCTTTCTTTTTTAGTACTAAAAACTAGACTAAAAGATTGCGTAAGAAGCAGAGAGCTATGTGTTTCGCTCTCTAAAAAAAGAAAATTCCGATGGAAAATGTTATCATTATGTTTAGATGTTTAAATTCATCGATCCTCAGTAAAGGAACCGGTGATTTTATGATTCATCGACCTCGTGATTAGTATTCCACATCCGCGTGTCGCTACATCTTATTGTCCGTGGAAATTACATTTTACGCGAGTATCATACCAATGTGCAAATTCGATGATTTGATGCACCATGAATATATAGGCTCGTCTAGTATACAAAACACGTAATTATACACTTTAATTCGAACATCGTCCCGGTACCCTGTTCGGAAATTGAAGAATGATTTGGACAGAATATCGGAGATAATCAATGCTTTTAATTTTAAAATTTAAAAGCAAAGTTAGGAATTTAAAATTCTATCAAATCTAAAAAATTTAACAATTTATAAATTTTAAGATTTCCATGAAATAGATTTAAAATGTTTTGTAAGATTTAGGTTAGAATTCAAGTTGTAGAATTAAATTAATAAGTAATAGATGTTTTTTAAATATTGATATTATCCATAAATATTTATTTATTTTCAATATACTCGAATCTTATTCTTCAATCTCTTTATTATATTTAGCCCAATATTATACAAGATCAATCAAACACAAAACTAGCTTCAACATAACCTCTTCTTCAATTCACCGTAAACACAGTAACACATATTTCCACCAAGAGTCCTCTTATTTAACGAGCTTCCATTGATGTACTTTTTCCGTGGAACAATAATCGGAATATTAATTATAGTACTTCTTGTTTCTAACGGTTCCCCGTGTGTATTTTATCAGTGAAAAATCTCGCCGTAAGAAAAACGTCAATGAACGAGTACGATTACTACTGGTGTTATTTGTTTTAATAATTAACCGAACGATAAAATCGACGAAACGCGCACGTTCGGTCACGATCGTTCTTCATCGGTGATATTCGGAGAGGCGGGAAAAGGAACATCGTAGCGAAGATTTCTTTCGCGATGTTCGAGTATGCAGCGGTAACCACGGCGGAAATGGAAAGAGAGCATGGCGAGGGACGAGAAAAAGAGAGAGAGGAGGAAAAAGGAAAAAAGAAAAATAATTCGAGTATTCCAACAAGAAGATGGGAACGAATCTTCCTAGCGAAACATCGTCTGCACGTTACCAGTTGGCTGGACCTCTCTCTGTATTCGTTTGACTGGAATGCACCAAAAATAAATTCGACGGCGGAGGTGCGCCATTTTGGAATCACCCCTTAATGCATTTGTCTCTCCTCCTCGCACATTTGTCTTCCTCTCTTTCTTATTCTTACACGGCTTCATTCTGTCACATATTTTCTAGATCGTATCGCGTTTCTGATTCCTCCGTGATCATGCGTTTTAAATCAGTTGCACTGGATTTCGTTTCACATTCAGGCATAAGTCTTTTGAAAATCGTCCTTAATCAGCTATACTTTATTTGGATTTTAATTTTTTTAATTTTAATTTTTATTATCAATGCTATCGCAATCCGTTTCATTTTACGAGTTTAATTTTCTATTTGTAATTATATTTAGCTCTTACAAATTTTTTCTTTGTTTTATATGTACATATATTCATTTGGAAAATATTCATACAGTTTTACGATCTCGAAGGATAAAATTAATATTTTATATAATTCCTAAAAATTAAATAAAATCCTGATTATTAAATTAAATTATACGATTAGGTTATAATCTGAATACAAAATTACCTTGAAAAGTTAATATTTGTTGAAAAAATTGATTAAAAAGAAGACTTAAAATAACAAGTTTTATTCTAAATCTTCTTAATTGATTTTTTCATACATATACTATATAGAATCTTGCACCCCATGAGTTGCACCCTCTTGTCGCTCAAGACAGGACTTCCCTCAGACGTTTCTGTCCTAGGGGATTTCTTTATTCATTTTTTTCATCACCTGAAATGTTGTATACTATTAATAAAATATACTACTAAAATATATTAATAAACTATTCAAAAAAATAAAATAATACAAAATATCATATAAAAAATCGAAATAAAAAAGATATAATTTATAAAATTGTTTACTATAACTTTTTATTAAAACGTTAAAATTTAATTATTTTTAAAATAAATTTAATATTCGAATTATTATTATTAGAAATCATCTCTTTGTTGATAGTATCATTAATTAGTGATACCCTATAATATTATCTGAATAGTAGATGGCTATTAGGTACAAAGAGGTAGCTAGTGTGTACAAGTAGAAACGAAGAAATACTGAATAATTCAGGCAGTGACCGTAGCGAGTGACGTCACGATAGTATTCAGCCGGTGGACGGTTCAAGCTGAGCGACCATGTGGAACCCCATCCGCTTAGGTCCCTAACTGAAAATTTCAACTTTCTGTACAAATTCCCTTATGTGGCTTTCGATTCTCGACACTGAAAGAAACCCTAGTTAAAGAAACCATAGACAAAACATCGTCCTAACTTTTTTTGCGATACTATTTTATTTAATCTTAAAAACATTACCAATTTTTTTGTGATTCTGCAATTGTTAGAGAAATCGACATATGATTCCATCGTATATGAATTTATTTAATAATTTATGATGCATAAAATGTGATTTATGATGTTTGATATTTGTGATTATTATTGATTTATGATATATAATGGTTGGAGATAAATATTTTATCAGGTAAAGGATTACATCTATAGAAACTAATAAGAAAAAATTGTTTTTATAGAATAAATAAGAATGGAAATTAGGACTTGGCTTGTTTTATCTTTTTGCATGATATCAACTAAACAATTGTTTAATTTGAAATTAACATAAAATAAATGATAAATTTATATTATATAGGATAGTAATTGATATAAATTTTAACAAATAGAATAAAATACAATTCAAAATGTTCAAAATTGTTTTTCTTAAAATTGTAACTTTTAGGTTATGTCATTATTCTGCAAACAAGCGATATTGTAGGTTAGTAGTTCTAGCGTTAAATGAGCCAGTATTTAAAAGTTTTTGAAATGTCTAGCAATTTTATGTCTACCAATTATTAATAAGAGTAAATCTCTGGCAATGACTTTAATGACAACGATAGTTGGAACGCATGGCGACCGATTCAAATGATAAATACATGATTCTTTCAACATCTCGCGCGTCCTGGCTTCGTTATCAAGCATGGCCCATCGCCGGATATCTCGCAACTCGTACCGTATTTTTCCCGCCATTGTATGGAAATGTCAGAAACCTCGTGTTTCTTCGAACTTCTTTTATTCCTGTCCTCCGCGACTCGGCCACCGAAAAGAAAGAAATATGCAAATGTTACAAAAAGGCCCATTCGAGTATTATCGCATCGATGTAGCATTATTGAAATTTTTGAAGTAACTATTCATAGATGTTTAAGCGTTTATTTAATGATAATTTCATATATATAATTGAAATGAAATAAATGAATATGAAATTAATTATAATTATTATTATACATTTTCTATTATACATTTTCTTATCAAAGTATTATTTTAAATAAAATATGTCACTATTGGAAAATCAATGTCCACACAATAAACAGATATATGCTTTAATGTTTGATTCGTGTTCACTCCACCGTGTGAAAATCTCCTACGCAAGGTGAAACCTTGTATTAACGCATATATATCGTACCATGCTTCTTTACTCTTTTGAAACGATTATTACGTTCAGGAAAGTTGTTCGAGAGTCTGGACACTTTCCTCGTTAAATATAAATATATCAAAAGTTAGAAATTTAATATAAAAAATAACTAATTTTATTATTTTTGTTTCAGCAATGCCAATCACTAATAGAAGAGAATCAAAAATTACAGAACGCTTTAACAAGCAATCAAATACCTCATGTACAAGTGATCGACAGTGTTTTCCTCCAGACACAGGTTGAAACATTGCAATGGCAGCTGAAACAGGTTTGTATTCAATGAACAACATTTAACATACTTGATTTACAAGAGGAAATTGTTGATGTCCTCGACCAGATTACCTTATTCCCATTTCTCGAATACTTTATGTTTGATTTTGAAAAAAATATTCACGTACTATTTTTGGTATTTTATTTTACCTGAAAAATTTTTTAATTTTAATCAAGCATATATAAGCATGTATGAGCAAAATTGTAGAAAATAATAAAATTTAAAATATATATAATAAATAAATAAATATAAAATAAAAAATATATATAATAAATAAAATTTAAACATGATATAAATAAAAATATTAAATATTTTTAATAGATATTAAATATTTAATAAAATATTTATTTGGAAAAAATATTACAGACAGAAGCGAATAGACAAATGTACCGTTCTTTAATGGAGCAAGTGGTACGTTTCCTAGATCGGGCTCGCAAAAGCTTGGATATTCTTCATGAGAAGAATAATCTCAAAGATAAGAATTCAATGGGACGAGTTCCACGTAGCCGTAGTGTTCATGCCGTTCATGCGGATTCCTCACCGAATCGTGCTGTTTCAGCAACATCTTCCTCTCATTTTATGAGGGCGAAATCAGTCACACAAATCTCACCATGTACCACGAGCTATCGTGAATTTACCTGGTCAATGCTTCGTAGAAATGATCCGACACACTGTACTCCTCCACGTAATAAATCTCAAGATCTCAATAAATCTCATGACGGTATTATTTATAGAAGACCCAAACAATCAGAGATTGATCCGAATGATATACCACCTGAAAAATTATCTCAAGAAGCATTCAGGTTAGTAACTATATATTTTTTTGAAATAATTTTATGTATAATTACTATTAATATATAATTATTATTGATATTTTAAAATAATGAAATAATATAAATTAATTATTTCAGGTTAATGAGGACCGTTCAATCGTTGCTATCAATGAGAGAGCCCGATCTTTTTAGAATTCTGTCGATAGAAAATAATTCTCCTTCGCCTATAGATCATCATCGTCATAATAACCATCATAATGAGATATCACTATCATTGCAGAATGGTAGCTTTATAAATTCCACGAGTTTACGGGAAGATGGCATTTATAATATACGTTCCAATTACAATCGTGGAAATGAATCGAACAATACTGATAATGATAATAGAATCTGTTTTTTTAAATCATCATCAAATATTACAGAAATTGATCAAAATTTGCAGAATCTTCTTCCCGGTATTAGAAGATCTCTCGATGCCACTTCACTTAACTCAGGAAGTAGCAAAACCACTGAAGAAGAAGATGTACTTTCAAATAATAATAATTGCTTTAATGTTTCTATGCCAAATGATCATATTTTCTCATGTACACCAACATCAACGCCAAATAAGCATGATAGAAAAGCAGAAAAGGAGAAAGACAAGTCTTCAAAATCAAAGCCAGCTGCTAGCGTAAGCAGTGTTGAGGATGAAAGTGGATTTTCTTCCATGAGTTCTTTTCAAGAAATTGGTTTACCTAATGCATTATCAATCTCTCCTATAAAAGGTTATCAGGAAGTGGGTTTACCTGAGATATCTGTAGAAAAAACCAGACATCGTAGATGGTCGTCAACTCCAGCTGAAATTCAAGCTCTTTTTAAACAGCGTAATAGTTTTATTTCTCAAACCGCCACTGAATCTTTAAGTGTTTGGGTTTAAGTGATTCTACGAGCGATATACATACTTTCTAAACGAGATAGCTCTGGTGAATGTACTTTTGGTACATTGAAATGTGAACAATGATCAAACATGGATA